ATGATAACTGCGTGTGAAGCCGGGACCGATATAACCTACATAAAACTAATCAGTGTCTATATATTTCATTGATAGTGATAATAATTCAATAAACGTTAACTTGACACAACTCCCTTGATAGATTTTAAAATAGCGAGTTTGGAATTACCTCTTAATTTTCGTCGATCAAGTAAACATCCGTTCGTCAGGTATGTCTATATCACGCAGAATAGAAGCGTTATGACTGTCATATTTATGGCATTCGATGCCCATTGGCCGCTGACCAAAAGTTAATTTATCATCTGTTTCCCAACGGAAATGGCGAAGCAAAACATTTCTCAGAGGACATTTGAATATTTTGAATTGTACTCATAGCTCATTTTGATCTGTTCAGGGCAGGCCTACGGAAGTCATCGGAATGTTTTCCAAGATATTTCGGCAGTTTTGTGTTTGCCGGAGGCTCATACGGGTTATACTATTATCGGTTAATGATTGGATAAAAAACGATAATTGATAATCAAATAACAACGCTGTTGCTGTCATTAATATATCAAAGTAATTAAAACGCTCTGTAGTAGCGAAAAAGTAATAAGTACTTGAAAAATTCGTTAGTCGTATTAGGTCCTGGATAACTCAGTGGTTAAAACAGTCGCCCGAATTGCGAAACGCCATGGGTTCGAGTCCCATCTCTGAATACCAGGGACAAAGTTGATTTTTGAAGCAATTTTCATTAAAAAATATTAAAATTTTAATCAAATAAAACCGACTTCACAAGGAAGATAATAAAAGTTTGAAATTGTGATAGAACTCCCTTAAAGTATAAAACAACCTTATCGTTATGTTAAACTACGTTTTATTATGCACTACGCACATATATGTATTGCAGTAATATCTGTAGGTACGAGTAGTAAAGCAATCTTGATAAAAAAAAGGGCCTTTCAATTTTTTTTCCCTATCAGAAAAACATATTTGATAGTTGTTTACAGATGATGCTCGTTTAATAACAAGCCCAAAAAAGTACAAAAAGAGTTTGTGTACAAGATATATTTATCAAGATAATTGTCGTGATGTTTATCGGGCTAATGATACCAGGGGTTATAAAGTTTGATAGTTTCGTTTAATATACTTGTTTTGATTGACATTCTACATCATCTAAATTCCCTTCCAAGTTCTTAGTAATCTATTGAGAACATTATCCAGCTATCTGAGACTAACTAGTAGCCTAGGGTATACAACACAGCATGCGAGGTTGATCCTAGCATCGTATTTACATCATTGCCCGCCGTTGGGGTCAATTAAGTTTTCTGAGAAGTGTCGTGCGCAGAGCCACGGTATCTGTAATAATTTTCCGAGAACGTTCTCGGTCCTCGGCCACACTTTAAAGTTGTAGATATGAGAAAGCGTCCTACTAATATTATAAATACGATACTGGTATACGGATAATTCTAAGCATGGATTAACATATAGGCTACTATATATCCCACAAAAAGTTACCTAAGGACCACGCGAGTGAATCCGCTAGCAGAAAGCTAGTATTGTATAATACTTCATTTTTAAAACGCTCGCTGTTTTGTAAAACGACCCGTCAATTTAGTTGAATATTAGACAATATGAGACTTGTTTTTAATTATGTAAGAGGAGTAAATAAAATTGAATATGAAATCTGCTACGTAAGTTTTCCGAATAATTAAATCTTTGAATTTACTATAGTTTTGGACAAATCGATACTTAATATATCGAAAAGTAAAGGTAGCAAATTCGATGAGTGAACCTTAGCATTTTCAGTGAGTTGTTATAAATTATTCTGTTTATACTTACTCAAATGGGGCGCCACGGGAAATATCAATGTAGGTATCTACACATTTTTCCTTTGACCTTTTCATAATTTCTTTTCTAAGCAAATAATCATAAATTCATATTATTTCTGATTGATGTTTAATATTAAAGGTTGTACGTAGAATAAATCTGTTATTGATATAATAATTTCGGAACTCACATCAGAGTTTTGATGATACTCGTTATTTCATCATTGTTATACTGTCTAATAGGGTGTAATTTTCTAAAGAATTTACTTTATTTATTTTGTTGATAATAAACTCCACCACGGCTATATGTAGGTATTATTATGTACATATAAATATTCCCGTGGTGTTAATAAACGGATGTTGCTGTTAACTAATTAACGTATATTATGACAAGATATTTTATAAGTATAGGACAGGACAGAAATAATTTCAGGACCTAAGAGTTTATAAATGTGAATTATTCTCGACTATATTCTAAATATAAATCCATTTTTTGTTTAGGCTTGTTCTTTTTTAGTCAAAATTGCCAGGTTTTAAATTTTTACACAAGTTTTGTAATTATACTTTTACGCACGTTTGTAATTATAAAAAAATATAGGAATTCTGGATTCTCGTTTTGTTTTTTTTTTTTAAACAAGATGCAAGTGAATAAATATAAATATTATAACTATTTTAGAGTGTGACTTCAGTTGGGTCGTTTCTTACTCAAACCGTTCTTTTCGCTACATAAATTGATAACAGAAATAATACCACAGACATAAATACAACATAACAACAGAATTCATAAGTAGACACTTAACAGGAGTTGCGTAATAGCAAGTAGATAAAAGAGACACTTATCACGTGTTTAGGAAACAAAACACTTGTTAATAATTTGCAACGTATGAGTAGAAAACAACTACCTATGTAGGTACATATATACTCAATAAAATATTAAAGACGTGTGTGTGAAAGTGTAACTTTATCTACATAATACTTGATAAAATTGGCAAAAACATCCTTAACTTTTATCTGACACGTGATAAAATGTTTTTGCAGGCAATTCTATAACATTGTGATAAAAATATTGAGATTAAAACTAATACCTATATCAACTAGACAAGTATTATCAATCTAAAATTATGTTCAGTGCGTAATTAATGATGATACGTCTTTTTATTCTTTTAAACGGTTGGAGTTTTTATTTAGAGTAGATACCTATAATAGATGATGAATTCGAATTATTTACTCAATAAAGAAAAATGTTAAACGTTGGAGAAGTTGTTATTTTGTTTAATATGCCTAAATAAGAATCATAAAAAAATAAATTTCTTATAGAATTGCAGAACATTTAAAATTTGATACCTATCTGATATTCGGAATGAAATAATTCGGAATGGATATGTCGTGGTTTATGATGTGACTGATCATTTTATAAATTGGAAAATCCCCGATGTCCACGTCATGATAATTTAGGCAAATCAATGAATTTGTCAAACAGTCGAAACGCACGTTACTGTTGTTGGTTATACTTAATATGAATTTGAGAAATAAGAAAGACAACAACTGGATGCCAAAAGTAATGTTTGATAGGGAATCAAAATAGGTACCGATTTTTTATTATTATTTAAATTGGCATTAATTATTTGACTTGGCTATCATTCGATGTTTGTTTTTTTTAGTACTTTTTGAATTAGGATTTATTTAAACTTTAATGCTGTAACAGCTCTATGTTCAACGCGACGACGTTTGACGCTATATTATGTTATCTTTTTTTTAAGCCGATACTCACTAGCACACATATTAATGACAAAAAAACGCTGATTTCATAGATAAATAAATCATCCATTAAATCTACTAAAAATATTTCTATTTACGATCTTATTTTATTAAAATAAAAAGAAAAATTACACTAAATAGTGGCTAATTCATTTTTCTTACCAATCATGAAAATCAAGACTACATGTGTTTTCAAATGCCATTATTTCTATGCAAACGTTCAGAACGATTTTTTATTATATTTAAGGTTTTTAAGGAAAATACACTGATATTATAGAGAAAAAAACTTATATTTAAAAAAATGATTTTATTTTATGGCAAACTTGAAGCAAATATAAATTGCATCTTAGAACCGCACCAGCAACGTCGGCTGAGAGACTAGAGTAAAATCTGTTTAGAATTCATAAAAAAAGACAGGCACTTAAACTTTTACTATTGAGCATTGGTTTTTCCAAATATTATGCTCAGTCATCGAGATCACCATTTGAGTCAACAGAATAATATTTAAAATACTGCTGACCCGGTGAACTTCGTATTACTTACCTCTTAATAAAACCATATTAATATTGAAAATTATTGCGTAAACTGACCACTGCACGACCATAAATATTGATCGTCAACTGAACGTTTGACAGCTAACAACAGTTTGTATGGGAAAATCAAATTGTCGTTTTTAGTATTATACTCGCAATTTTGTTATATTTTCTCATCGTTGAAACTTTCCCAAGACTTCCACGAATATTTCAAGACTAAAATTTGTCAAATCGGTTCAGCTGTTCTCGAGTTTAACGAACGGAAATTCATTTTTATTTATATAGATATAAAGATAGATTATTGAATGAGTACAAAGTTTAAAGCATGAAAAATTCTTATACAGATGGCGATAGTTAAAAGAAAATAGAGTTGAAAAAATTGAATGATTTCCATTTTTACATGTGACGATCGATTTTCTTGTAACGACAATAAGTCTTTGTCATATCATTCCGAGAGTGATGATAATGCATTTTCTCATTGCCTGATCCTGATCAGCGGCAGTAAGAAAATGCAGCATCTTCAAAATCACATTTTGTTATAAAACGGAAAAATAAGTTGCATTCTTATAAGACTCTAATAGGAAAGTGAATAATATTTTCCATATGAAGTCCGTTCTGTCCTATATAACAAGATTTAAATTTATTTAATGACTAGCTTTCCGCCAGCGGCTTCGCCCGCGTGTTCTTGTATTATGCATAAAAACCTTCCTTTTGAATCACCTTATCTATAAAAAAATAAACCGCATCAAAATCCGTTGCGTAGTTTTAAAGATTTAAGCATACATAGGGATATAGGGACAGAAAAGCGAGTTTGTTTTATACTATGTAGTGATGACGATGAATAATCATTGAAGAAGTTAATCACAAGGAAAAATGTAGAGTACAGAGAGTAAGCGTCGTATCACAAATAAGGAAGCTTTGGTACCTGTTTTCGTTTGAGAGGTTTGGGAGGCGTAGGAGGTAGAGGTGGCGACTCCCGTGCCGCCAGCTCGTCCAGTAACGCTGCGCATTTCTCCTTCTCTTGTTCTTCATCAGCCACGAGCAGGAAGCGCCTCCATCGCGACGAATCGAAGCCCCAATGGCACGTGCGGTGTTCCGCCTCGTGCGAATGGCACACGAATCGGCGCGGTGTATATAGCGATCGGCACACCAAACACTGCACTAGGTTCAAATCAGAGGCGCATACACCGCGCGCGCCTCCAAAACACTCATGATACACCCGGAACCCGGGCAACTTATGCGGGCTGGACGCAGACGGTGCGTGAAGCAATGCCGCGCACAACCGCTCCGCATCCGTATGCGTGATCAGCCCGCATGACGGCGCCGATCGCGGAAGAACTCCCGTCGATTTGAGCTCATGCAGTTGCTCCGGTGTGCAACGAGAACAGTATATTTGTAGCTCATCGCATACGCGGTTGATCTGCTCTAAGCTGAAGTCCGTTAGAACAGAAGTGAGAATTTGTGGGAGGCACAGCCGCCTCTCCCCGCCTACGCTGAAACATGAGATCGGCTCTCCTTCGAGGAGGGTTTCCCCGCGTTCGCCGAGCACTGGGTCGGCAGCTAGAAGGATCAGCGGCGCGGCGGGTGGCGGCGGCAGCGGTGGTGGGTCAGAGCGCGGAGCGGAGCGCCCGTTTCCCGGACCCTGTAGGCTGCGCGGCGCGCTCGCTTGATAAGTTTTCAGTACGGAATTTATATGGGACGTCACCACATCCATGGTAGCGCACCCCCACCGTATCGGGTGCTCGCGCGGCGCATGTCACGAGCCAGCTTACGCGCTGGCAAGCACGACTCGCTTTGGCCGCGATCGAAACATGTCTGCCGAGTGTGCCGAGCCGTCGCGACGGCCCGGCCAAGCGCGCGTCGCCTTTTCGCGGCGTCTCCGCCCCGTCGCCGTACACAAACCCGTGCAAAAATGTGCGACTTATCACCTTTTCTCACTTAACCATCATCATATTTTCCCACCAGATATTCACTAAACTTTTACTATTTTAGAACGTCTTGTTGTCGACCCATTTAATCCAATAAGATAAGTCTTAACACACAGGATCAAAATAGTACGTAATAGATACGAACGTACAAGACCGGGGCGTGGATTCCGGCGACTGGCCGCAGTCAAAGCAGCAGACGGATGGCTCGGCTACTGGAGAGTCTAGCCAGCGCCCCTCGCCCCGCGCCTGACGCCGTGTCACGTGACCGACCTTCCCGTCAAAATATCCAGAATGGCGGCGCGAACCACGTCCCACTAGTCGCAAAGAAAAGCTTAATGTAGAGCGCTTAATGTGCTGAATTCGTAATAGATGTCCCTTTTTAAAACTTTAACAAATAAATAGAAAAAAATTGAAATTCACCTAAAGTAGGTTATTACCAAAATTTTTTACATAATTGAAAATGGTTTTTTATTTATTATTTTTTCATTCTAAAAGAAACGACTCAACTTTTGATGAAACATGCACAAAAACTCGTAGTTTTGATTAATCAATATCTATACATACTATAATATTATAAAGTACCTATATCTACACATACTATAATATTATTACTCTACATACATTTTTACTCTTCTACATTTATATATTTTTCGAGTTGTGCCTAAATAGAAATTTATAATAAAACTTAATATTGTTTGGGCAAGCCGTCATTAACTAAAATGTCTTTCGAATCAATTACTTAATAATAATAATAATGGATATTAGGTAGTTCAATTATTTATTAATCTATGAGATTAAGATTTAACATTGCTACTGTTATAGTTCATGTTCACGGCATATTTAATTATAATCTGAATTATAATTTTGATTATAATATTACACAGTATTTCTTTGATACAGATAATAACAATGTTACGGCATTGGTATTCTCTAAAATTACAACATCGAACATTATATAGTGCATCAAATATGTTAGGAATAAAAATGTTATGTACCTATGTTAAGTATTTATTTTTAAACGGAATAGCTGAGGAGTTGCGAATTTAAAATATAATATTTTCTACTAAATACTTAAATTTAATAGGCATAGTATTTCTAAAAAGTAAACTTATCGTCTGCACAAACTAATCTTTGACTCCGCGACACGCGCGGTACATGAGTTGGGGGAGGGAGGAGCACTGCGGGACGCGGGACGGGGCAGCTGCGTCTACTGCGGCCATTCGCTCGAATGTTTTTATCTTATAAGACTTACAAAAGAGTATAGACTCTATCATCGGCGAATAGAAGCCAATTTCAAAATATAGATTCACGGCTTTGTTTTCATTCTAATAGAATGTTCAAATTGAGTTTGTACTTTGGCACAATATTATTAAAGTTGTATTTGCAAGAATAATTATTTAAAGTAATCTTTCGTAAAGCAACACTAAGAGTCTCTATTACGCTCTATGTAACACTTACCTCTGCAGATCATAGTGACAATCAGAAACAGACAAGAATTATTGAAGAAAAACGTATTGACAATTCTATCTAAGAAGGATTCTTACTTTAAAATCATTTTTCAATCTCAATTGAAACTAATTACACTTTAGCTGCTCATGTCTATATAATTGGAAAATCTAGACATGAGCGTCTATATAATAGGAAAATCTTCAAAGGGGAAAACCAACATTTTATTAAATTGATGGGAATTTTCTTTTCGGTTTAAGGTACATTGTCAACTGCCACTAAAATTATCAAGTCGAAAATTGCCTAAAATGAAAATTACTATCATTTTACATAGACATAGAGTAGAGTTACTTAGATTTTTATTAAATCATGTTGTGTAACCAACGCAAGCTTCCGTAATCTTTGTACAATTTGCTAGTTTCTAATTTCTACGAGGGTCAAACTGAAAGTTCTTAGAAAATCAAAAACTGATTACATTAGCCAGTTATTAGTTTTATTATATCTTTTCAAAATATTGTCCATTCACGTCAATACACCGCTGCATGCGATGGAACCACTGGGAAAAGCACTTTGCCCACTCGTCCTTAGGGGTCTCTTCAATGGCATCGCGATACGCAGCCACCGCTTCTTCAGCATTCATAAACCGCTTTCCTTTAAGTTTTTCTTTAATTTTTGGAAATAAATAAAAATCACAAGGCGCGAGGTCGGGGCTATACGGCGGGTGACCCAGTAATTCAACGTTTGATGTCGCCAAATAGTCGATCGTTCGCTTGGCGGTGTGCGACGAGGCGTTGTCGTGGTGAAGGAGGATCCTACTGCGAGGTCGTTTCTCTCGAACTTTTTCCAAGACAAGTGGCAAACAATTGGTAGTGTACCATTCTGCAGAAACTGTTTTTTGATCCTCTAACACAATTGTTGCAAAATGACCTATCCTTCCAAAGAACGAGGCCACCATTTTTTTTCCCGCACTTCGATCTCTCTTCACTTTAGTTGGCAACTCCTCGAAAGGAAACACCCACTGAGCAGATTGTCTTTTGGTTTTAGGATCATAACAGTAAATCCAGCTTTCGCCACCTGTTAGTATGTCGAACACAGCATTTGAGTCACCTCCGTTAAATCTTTCAATCATTTTACGACACCAATCCACACGATGGAGTTTTTGAGCCTCAGTCAAATTATGAGGTATCCACCGGGCGCAAAGCTTCCTGACCGCTAAATGTTCGTGGAGGATTTTGTGCACTTGACTCATATCGATGCCTAAGCTTGTCCGAATCTGTTGATTGGTCACTCTTTTGTCAGTCTCTATCATACGCCGCACAACACAGATGTTATCTTCAGTCGTCGCCGTAGAAGGCCGTCCCTCACGTAAATCATCAGTGAGATTAGTGCGACCACGTTTAAACTCATTAAACCAGTTGTAAACAGTCGCACGAGATGGGGCTTCATCGTGAAAGGCCAATCGTAGTCTATCATAACTTTCTTGTTGACTTAAATGACATCGAAAGTCATAAAAAATCATTGCACGAAAATTTTCTCGTGTTAATTCATGATGACGTGACACAGACAATTTTCAATTTGCCGCCAAATCGTAAAACAAATGACAAATGAATGAAATATATACTCAGTAATATTGGCAAAGAGTTATATTTTCAAATTTTAGAATTATTTTTTTATTATATTGTTTATAAGTGGCCAGTTCTAAGAACTTTTAGTTTGACCCTCGTAATAGGTAACGTACAAAACTAATATCATGATTGGTAATATCAATTATATGTCTCAATTAATTAGCAGGTTCTAAATGCGAGGCCCTCCGATGACGTGACAAGAGATATTTTACAAAATATTAATTTGTTAAATAAAAATAGTATAGTAATAAAATACATATGTATATTTTAATGTCTCTCTTCTTGGCTACGTAATAATAATAAGAACCGGTGAAGTGTCACCCGGACTGGTTGACGAAGGGTCCGTACTATTATCCGTAAAAAAAACAACAAAAAATCAGTTTTGTTTTATAAAGAATTATTCCAAATTTTTGCGTTAGATACAATTGGTCGATTATTACTCGTAAACTTTTAAAGACAACTTAAGTGTAATCGTTTTAATTTCGTTATATATACGTACTACTACCATAACGTTTGAATTATTACCAACGAAACGGTTGGTAGAGGGGGACGTCATTTGACACTAACGAAAGTTATACTAAATCGAAAACGGCCTTCCCACACCTCCAATGATTTTGAAAAACCTATCCAACTATAACTTACACTATGGGGAAGACGATAAAAAATATCAACCCCACGTTACATGTTACTTTACGACTTTGCCGGCGTAATTAATATTTATACTCATAATAAATTACAACTTTCTAGTAACTATAGTTTTTGAGCTATGCCACGAAGGGCCAACAGCGTAGCAACAATTAGAAAAAGCCATGGCGAAAAGGGTTACTTGTTTACTACGTAACCCTAAAAAAATTTCCAAAACTACGTTGACTTATTTCGGCGTTGACCGCAAGGCCATGAGCGGTGGCCCACATCGCCCTACGCGTGCCGGCAGCCGCTCTTATGCAGTCAATGGCAGCTCTTATAAATTTTTAAAACTATACCACCATAGTGATTAAATTCAAATCAAAAGCAACAAATAAATGAAAATCTTAAGGTTTGCCATCTTGTACATACTTGTGTGAATGTCCGTTCAGCCCTGCGATTCTGTAAAAATATCCAGACCCGAATTCGAATTCACTCATGTGTCCGATTTCACGTCATTTAGTGTAAAAATTCTATTGATTCCATTTTTTTGTATAAAAATACAAAACAAAATTGATTGAATACACGTGTCTCAGATATTCTATTCCTATATTATTTCGAAACTCACTTCACTTACGCTACGAAACGTTATTACCAATTCAAGGTTGAGCGTACCTATGCCTCTTTTTGAAGTCAATTCGGACACCTGAGAGAATTCTAATTCGGGTTTGGAGTTTTACAGAATCGCAGGGCTGGTCTCCGATGAAGTTCGTCCGCTACTGGGTACGACCACCCAACTCTCTAGCCATGACCATAGGATACGGCATCATAACGATGTCAATTTGATATTTAGTTTCATTTTATTACTTTTACGTATACTTTATAACGACAAATGAATGATAATTTGACAGCAGTCTTACCAATTTAGGCGTTTATCCATCACAAAATATACGATATATTGCTATAACATAGCTAATATGTCGTATCCTATCGCTAGAAAGTTAGGCGGTGGCACCCTTGAACTTTTAATTTTGATGATTGTTTTTTTTTGTAAAATTTCGAGCCAACTTTTTAGTCTGATTTGTTCGTCGGACGTCGCAATTGGGCTTAATATGAATGTGTGTGTTACTCACCTACATAATAAATCTTGATTAGGTAATCTTACAGAAAATATTTTTTAAACATTTTATTTTT